TGAATAGTACTGCAAAAAACTACAAAAGATTTAAAAGTTAGCCAGGTGTGGTGGCTTGTGCCTGTAGTCCCACCTACTTGGGAGGCTAAGTAGGATACCTTGTGGTAGGATACCTTGAGCCTGGGAGTTGGAGGCTGTAGTGTTCTATGCTTGAGGCTCTGAATAGCCACTGCATAGTGAGATTGTATTTCTTTTTCAATCTTTTTAATCTAGCTAACTAGGAATAGAAAGTAACTTCCATTCGGGTGAGGTCTTCCTAAGTATAAACAAAAACAAAACAAAAAAAAAAAAAGAAAAGAAAAGAAAATAACTTCCATAGTCAAGACAAGGATACCAGTTATTACTGTTCCTATTCACTCTTCTCCCAAGAAGTCTGAAGTGACACAAGAAGAAAAAGAAGAAATAAAGCTATCACTATACATAGACAATTACTATACATGGATTGCTTACTATACAAAGAAAATTCTCAAGAATCTACAAACTATTAGAACTAATACCTTCCTTGCTGGGGGCAATGAGAATACTTAAACATCAATACCCCTACACCGCAGCAATAAACAAAATATTTCATTTTAAGAAAATACCACTTGTAATAGTAAAAATCATAAGATACTTAGGAATAAATATAATAGTCTGTGTATGATCTTTATGGAGAAAATGATAAAGTTTTATTAGAGAACATAAAGAAGTTATAAAAGAATAGGAAGAGATGCTATGTCCTTTATGAAGAGGGTAGTTTGATATAAAGCTGATAAGTTTTCTCAAATCTAAAAATTCAGTACAATTCTAAGCAAAAATCCAACAAGATATTTTATGGAGCTTGACGGATTGTTCTTAAAATTCTTCTGGAAGGGGCTGGGCACTGTGGCTCATGCCTGTAATCCCAGCACTTGGGGAGACTGAGGTGGGCGAATCACAGGTCAAGAGTTCGAGATCAGCCTGGTCAACATGGTGAAACCCCATCTCGACTAAAAATATAAAAATTAGCTGGGCATAGTGGGGGGTGCCTATAATCCTAGCTACTCGGGAGGCTGAGGCAGGAGAATCACTTGAGCCTGGGAGGCGGAGGTTGCAGTGAGCCGAGATCATGCCACTGCACTCCAGCCCTTGTGACAGAGTAAGACTCCATCTAAAAAAAAAAAAAAAAAAATTCTTACGGAAGAATAAATGGCCAAGAAAAAACAAAACTTGAAGCTGAAGAACATGAGCTCCCTTCCCAAACCATACGTCACAAGTTTACTGGTTGAAAGCTGGAGCGATTGAAACAGCCTAGCCCTGGCACATGCACACATAAATAGACCACAGCACAGAACAAAACTTTTTTGAATCAGACCCTAATAGGGTTTGGATCTGTGTCCCTACCCAAATCTCATGTTGAATTGTAATCCCCATTGCTGGAGGATGAACGGTGATTGGATCATGGAGGTGGATTTCCCACTGGCTACTGTTCTCATGATAGTGAGTAAGTTCTCATGAGACCTGGTTGTTTAAAAGTGCATAGAGGCCAGGTGCAGTGGCTCACACCTATAATCCTAGCACTTTGAGAGGCTGAGACAGAAGGATCACTTGAGCCCAGGAGATCAAAACCAGCCTAGACAACATGACGAGACTCCATCTCTACAAAAATACAAAAAAATAGCCGGGCATGGTGATGCATGCCTATGGTCCCAGCTACTGAGGAGGCTGAGGTGGGAGCATCGCTTGAGCCCAGGGGGCAGAGATTACTGTGAACCAAGATTGTGCCACTGCATCCAGCCTGGGTTACAGAGCAAGACTATGTCTCAAAAAAAAAAAAAAACAAAAAAAACGTGTGGTACCTCTTCCCTTCAATCTTCCTCGTGCTCCAGCCGCATAAGACATGCCTGCTTTCCTTTCACCTTCTACCACGATTGTAAGTTTCCTGATGCCTCCCCAACCATGCTTCCTATACAGCCTGTGGAATTGTGAGCCAATTAAACTCCTTTATAAATTACTCAGTCTCAGGTATTTCTCTATAGCAGAGCAAGAAAGAGCTAATACAGACCCTCAAAAATACAAGAATTGGTGTATAATGAAAGTGACATGAATCAGTGGGAAAGTTCAATGGTTTTGAGTTAACTGGCTATCCAAACAAATATACAAAAAATAGATTCTACTTTATATGCTACCCAGAAGTAAATTCCAGATAGCTAGAATGAAAAGCAAAGCTGAAAACTTCTCAAAGAAAATATAAGATTACATATTGATGATATCAGAGGAGAGAAGGATTTCTTATACAAAATTTTAAAAGTACAAGCAGTTAACAAAATGAAGAACACTATATGATTATATCAATACATGGAGGAAAGGCATTTGACAAAATGTAACATCATTTCATGATACAAATTCTTAGCAAATTAGGCATAGAAGGAACGTATCTCAACACAATAAAGCCCATATAGGACAAACCCACAGCCAACATCATACATAACGGCGAAAAGTTAAAAGCTTTTCCTCTAAGATCAGGAAGAAGACAAGGATGACCATCTCACCATTTCTCTTCAATAGTGCTAGAAATTCTAGCCAGAACAGATAGGCAAGAGAAAGAAATTAAAGGCATTCAGATTGGAAAGAAGGAAGTTAAGTTGTCACTGTTTGCAGACAACATGATCTTATATAGAGAAATCCCTAAAGATACCACCAAAAAAAACTATTAGAACTAATAAATTCAGTAAAGTTGCAGGATACAAAATCAATATTCATAAGTCAGTAGCATTACTGTACACTAATAAGGCACCAACCAAATAAGAAATCAAGAAAACAATCTCATTTACAATAGCATCCAAAAATATACTTAGGAATAAATTTAATCAAAGAGGTGATAAATCTGTACACTGAAAACTATAAAGCACTGAAGAAAGAAATTAAAGACACAAATAAATGGAAAGATATTCCATGTTAATGGATTGGAAAGATTAATATTGTTAAAATGTCCACACTACCCAAAACTGTAGATTCAATCCAATCCCTACCAAAATTCCAGTGACATTTTCACAGAAATAGAAAAAAATCCTAAGATTCGTATGGAACCGCAAAAGACAAGAATCAAATGACCAAAGCAATCTTGAGCAAAAGGAACAAAGCTAGAGGCATCACACTACCTAATCTCAGAAACTGCTACAAAGCTGTACTAATCAAAAAAGCATGGTTCTGGAACAAAAACAGACATATAAGATCAGAATAGAGACCAGAAGTAAATCCACACATTTTATGGACAACTGATCCTTTATAAATATACCAAGAACACACAGTGGGAAAACGACAGTCGTCTCAATAAACAGTCTTGGGAAAACTGCATATCCACATGTAGAAGAATAAAATTAGACTGTATCTCACCTCATATGCAAAAATCAACTCAGGCTGGGCACAGTGGCTCGCATCTGTAATCCCTTCACTTTGGGAGAATGAGGCCAGTGGGTTACTTGAGATCAGGAGTTTGAGACCAGCCTTGCCAAAATAGTGAAACCTAGTAAAAACACAAAATTTAGCCAGGGGTGGTGGTGCACACCTATAGTCCCAGCTACTCGGGAGGCTAAGGCACAAGAATCACTTGAACCTGGGAGACAGAGGTTGCAGTAAGCCAAGACCATGCCACTGCACTCCAGCCTGAAGGACAGAGAAAGACTGTCTCAAAAGAAAAAAAAAATTCAACTCAAAATGAATTAAAGACTTACACATAAGATCTGAAATTGTAAAGCTACTAGAAGAAAATACAGGACAAAAAAAGGGTCAGACACGGTGGCTCACACCTGTAATTTCAGCACTTTGGGAAGCCAAGGCGGGTGGATCACAAGGTCAAGAGATCGAGACCATCCCAGCCAACATGGTGAAATCCGGTCTCTACTAAAAATACAAAAATTAGCTGGGCATGGTGGTGTGGTGCCTGTAGTTCTAGCTACTTGGGAGGCTGAGGCAGGAGAATCGCTTGAACCTGGGAGGCAGAGTTGTAGTGAGCCAAGGCTGCACCACTGCACTCCAGCCTGGAGACAGAGCAAGACTCTGAAAAAAAAAGGGGGAGGAAATATAGGAAAAAAGCTTCTTGACATTGGTCTGGGCAATGATTTTTTTTTGGATAGGACCCCAAAAGCAAGAATAGACAAATGAGATTGCATCAAACTAAAGCTTCTGAACACCAAACTAAAGCTTCTGAACAATCAACAGACAACCTACGGAAAGGGACAAAATATTTGCAAACCATACATCTAGCAAGGGGTGAATATTTTAAATATATAAGATGTAGGAGGGAAGCCCCGCAAGTGTCGTGGCAAGGATCTGAAGCCTCAGCCTGTTCTCATATAATATTGATTTAGAAAAGACTTAGAGGCCAGGAGTGGTGGCTTTTGCCTGTAATCCAAGCACTTTGGAGGCCACGGCGGGTGGATCACCTGAGGTTGGGAGTTCAAGACCAGCCTGACCAACATGGTGAAACCCCGTCTTTTAAAATAAAAAAAATAAAGAAAAGACTTAGAAATGTAGGCACATAGTTATTTTTATATAATTATATTTATATAATTATATATAATCTTATAGTTACCTATAATCATAAAGATATATACTCAATATAACCTTTAATTTTACTAATGACTATCAGGTTATGAAGCATGGAACTGAGGTGACATTGTGAACAAAGTGATCCTAAGGCAAGATGCTCTAAGCCCTCTGTCACGCCCGCATAAGGGCTGCTGGGGGGGGCGCCTTGGCTGTGTGGCAGTGCCAGTGTTGTGAAAGCGCTCGCTGTTTAGCCAGCTAGGGAAGGAAATGTCCAAAATGACCGAGACATCTCCTTCCTGGGGGAGTTAGGAGAAAACTCCGCTTCTCCAAGCTCGTGTGGCAAGGCCTGACGACTGTCAGGAAAGCCCGCAGACATCCCGGGGCTTAACTGTCTCTATGTGATGCTGTGCTTCAGTGGTCATGTTCCATGTCTGCTCTCGCGCCCTTCTTCTGCACCTGGTTTCTTTTTTTCTTAAAAGATAAGAATTAATGTGCTCGCTTCGGCAGCACATATACTAAAAAAAATTGGAACTATACAGAGAAGATTAGCATGGCCCCTGCGCAAGGATGACAAAAAAAAAAAGAATTAATAATAGTAATATAATCTTAATGTCCTTAATATTTCTGACATATACGCAAAGAGCATCGACGCATTAGCTTTTTTCCTCGCCTCTCCTACTTGAAAGTCTTGGGCCCCCTATCTTGAAGACACATGGTTTACCTGACCCTATCACCGACCACCATTGCCTCACCCTACCTTCCCTGCCCCCTGCTTTGTACTCAATAAAAGTCAGAGTGTCCTGGCACTCGGGGCCACTGCAGGTCTCCGCACTTTGGTTGGCAGTGGACCCCCGAGCCCAAACTCTCTTTTCTCTATCTCTTTGTCTGTGTCTGTTATTTCTACAGTTTCTCATTTCCGCACCAACAGGCAGGGGCTCACAAAACCCTATAGGGCTGGACCCTATATAAGAAATTCAATAGCAAGAGTTGTTGAAAACTAAAAATCTGATTTTTTTTCTTTAAGATGGGGTCACACTCTGTTGCCCAGGCTGGAATACTGTGCACAGTCATGGCTCACTGCAGCCTTCACCTCCCAGGCTCAAGCAATTCTCCCACCTCAGCCTCCCAAGTAGCTGGGACCACAGGCACATGCCACCATGCCCTGCTAATTCAGAAAAGCTTTTTCTAAAGACGGGGTCTCCCTATGTTTTCCAGATTTATTTCAAACTCCCAGGCTCAAGTGATCCTCCTGACTTGGCCTCCCAAAGTACTGGGATTACTGACATGAGCCACTGCACCCAGCCAAAAATCTGATTTTAAAATTGGCAAAGGGTCTGAAATAACGTTCCTCAAAAAGAAGACACACAAATGACCAACAGGTGTATAAAAAAATGTTCAATATTACTAATCATTAGAAATGCAAATTTAAACCACAGCGAGATATCACCTCTTACTGCTAAGATGGCTCTGATAAAAAAAATAAAAATAAAAATAAACAAAGAGATTACAAGTGGTGGCAAGGATATGGAGAGAAAAGGAAACTTCACACACTGTTGGTGGGAATGTGAATTTGTACACCTATTTTGGAAAACAGAATGGAGCTTTCTCAAAAAATTAAAAATATAACTATCATATGATCCAGTAGTTCCATTATCAGGTATATATCCAAAGAAATGAACTAAGTATACTGAAGAGATATCTGCATTCCCATATTCACTGCAGCATTATTTACAATAGCCAAGAATGGAATCAACCTAAGGTCCATCAATGAATAAATAAAGAGAATATGGTACATATACACAATGGAATACTATTCAGTCTTTAAAAAGAAGGAAATCCTGTCATCTGTGACAACATGGAAAAACCTAGAGGATATTATGCCAAATGAAATAAACCAGGCACAGAAAGACAAATAACACGGTTTCACTTATATGTGGAACCTAAAGAGTTCAGCCTGGAACTCAGCCAGGCATGGTGGCATGCCTATAGTCCCAGCTACTTGGGAGCCGAGCCAGGAGGATCTCCTGAATCCAGGACTTTGAGGCTTCAGTGAGCTGTGATCACACCACTGCACTCCAATCCAGGCAACAGAATGAGACCCTGACTCAAAATAAATAAATAAAATAAAATTCATTGCAGAAGCAGAGAATAGAACGGTGGTTACACAGGGGCTGGGGGTGTAGGGGACAGGGATTGGAGAGCTTTAGTCAAAGGATACAAAATTTGAGGAAGGTAGAATAAATTCAGGAGATCTATTGTATAACATGATGACTAGAGTTAATAACAATGCATTGTATACTTGAAAGTTGCTGGCCAGCTGCAGTGGCTGGTGTCTGAGATCCCAGCACTTTGCGAGGCTGAGGTGGGTGGATCGCTTGAGAACAGGAGTTGGAGAGCAGCTTGGGCAACATGGTGAAACCCCATCTCTAAAAAAAATCCAAAAATTGGCTGGGCACCGTGGCTCACCCCTGTAATCCCAGCACTTTGGGAAGTCGAGGTGGGTGGATCAGGAGGTTAGGAGATTGAGGACCATCCTGGCCAACATGGTGAAACCTCGTCTGTACTAAAAACTCCATCTTTACTAAAATACAAAAGATTAGCTGGGCATTGTGGTGCATGCCTGTAGTCCCAGCTACTCAGGAGGCTGAGGTGGAAGAGTGGCTTGAACTCAGGAGGCAGAGGTTGCAGTGAGCCAAGATCGCACCACTGCACTCCAGCCTGGTGATAGAGCGAGACTCTGTCTCAAAAAAAAAAAAAAAAAAAGATAGTATGTGAGATAACAGATATGGTAATTACTTTAGCCATTACACATACACACACACATACATATATATATACACACATCATGTTGTTACACCATAGATACAATTTTTATTTGTTAACCGTAAATAAATGGAAGCACAAACAATAAAGGAAAATACTGACACATGTGAACACGTTAAAACTTTTTTTTGAGATGGAGACTTGCTCTGTTACCCAGGCTGGAGTGCAATGGTTCAGTCTCGGCTCACTGCAGCCTCTGTCCCCCTGGTTCCAGCGATTCTCCTGCTTCAGCCCCCTGAGTAGCTGGGATTACAGGTGCACACCTCCATGCCCGTCCAATTTTTGTATTTTTAGTAGAGACAGTGTTTTGCCATGTTGGCCAGGCTGGTCTTGAACTCCTGACCTCAGGTGATCTGCCCACCTCAGCCTCCCAAAGTGCTGGGATTATAGGCATGAGCCACCACACCCAATCCACATTAAAACATTTTTAAGCTTTTATAAGGAATCATGTAAAGTAAAAGACAAGCCACAGACTTGTAAAATATTCACAACCTACATAAATAACAAAGGATTATATCCAGGATTTATAAAGAAATTTCAGATCCATATATGAAAAGGACAACGCAAGAGAATATGAGCAACAGCTGTGAATAGGCAAGTCGCAAAAGAGAAACCTAAATGGTCAATAAACATAAGAAAAGACGCTCAATTTAACCAGCAATGTAGAAATGCAAATCACAGCATGTGACACCATTTTACACACACGAAATCACCAAAATTAAAGTTACCCTAACACTGTTGACAAAAATGTGGGGCAATAGGAATGCCTATATTTTGTGTTGAAGTGTAAACAGATATAACAAATTTGAAGATAATTTTGGCACCAGTTAATGCTGAAACTGAATATTCCCTGTGACCCAGCACCCTTGCTTCTAGATCTATTCCTTAGAAAAACATTACTACACATGCACAAAAAGGCAAGGACACAAATGGTCTTTGCATTATCAAGTAATTGTCAAGAAAAAGTGGAAATAAGCTAACCGTCATTAAGTAAAGGAATGGATAAAGTATGGTTTGTTCTTATAATGGGATACAGCTAAATGAATATTTAGCAATGTAATGAGTAGGAAACTTGCAAAAATAGATGTTATATGATTTTATTTGTGTGAAGTTTTGTTTTGTTTTGTTTGTTTTGAGATGGAGTCTCACTCTGTTGCGCAGGCTGAAGTGCAGTGGTGCGATCTTGGCTCCCTGCAACCTCTGCCTCCCAGGTTCAAGGGATGATTCTCCTGACTCAGCCTCCTGAGTAGCTAGGATTATAGGTGCCCGTCACCACACCCAGCTAATTTTTGTATTTTTAGTAGAGACAGGTTTCACAATGTTGGCCAGGCTGGTCTCAAACTCCTGACCTAAGGAGTATCTGCCTGCCTCAGTATCCCAAAGTGCTGGGATTACAGTCGTGAGCCACTGCACTTGGTCTTGTGTAAGTTTTAAAACACACAAAGCAGTGGTATGTGTTTAGGAAAGCAAACATATTTGTTAAAAGTACAAAGTACGCCTAGGGATAATTCGCAACAAGTTTAGAATGATAATCACTACAAGGAAGGAGAGAAATGGGATGGGTGTTAGCCGAATTTGTAATCCTTTTTTTTAAAAAAAATTTTTTTTTAAAGAAAAAGAGATACAAAGCAGGCAATGCAAAGGTGAGGATTTGCTTCACTGGGTTGCTGTGATCATTAAACAAGCCAATAAATGGGACAGTGCTAAATGAAAGTTTCTTGCCAATCTCTTGAGAAGGGTACAAGGATGGTGGCTGTGTAGGTGGAGAGATGCGATTTCCTGGCCTCTTCTCTCCTCTGCTGTGCTAAGTCTCAGTCTTCCTATTGGGACGGTATAAATTGGTATAAATCTTTTTTTTTCTTTATCTCAAAAGGTATCAATAAATTGGTATAAATCTTAACTGCTACATGCCACAATTTCCTGCCTACAAAATGTGTATATTCAAAGTGCGATGTCATAGCATTGTTGTGAGAATAAGTTGTGTTAAGTGCTTTAGAACTTAACTTACCTACCTGGCTTAGAGTAACTGCCCTAGGCTATTGTTTTGTTGGTGGTGGTGCTGTTACAATGGTCGTTGTTGGGTATCACCTCCAGTTGCATACAAACTCTTTTTTAATCTCAACTTCTAAAAATCGTATAAGAACCTCACTTGGCAATGAAAGTGCCCCAAAACTAAGAAGACCCAGACTCTTCCTTCAAGGATCTAGGTCCATTTGCAACCCAAATTCCTGTAAGGGCCAGGCAGGTAATGTGCCAAGTGCCAAGGGAAGGCTGTAACAGGCTGGAGGGTACCCTCCCCTCCTGGAGGGGCAGCAGCTCCTGGTCCAATATTGCCACATAGGAATTCAGAGCTGGCATTGCCATGAGAAACTGGAAATCTCAATTTTTCTGTAAAATCTTTTTTCTTTTCTTTTCTTTTCTTTTCTTTTCTTTCTTTCTTTCTTTCTTTCTTTCTTTCTTTCTTTCTTTTTCTTTCTTTCTTTCTTTCTTTTTTTGTTCTCTCTCTCTCTCTCCTTCCTTCCTTCCTTCCTTTCCTTCCTTCCTGCCTTCCTTCCTTCTTCTTTCTTTCTTTCTTTCTTTCTTTCTTTCTTTCTTTCTTTCTTCTTTCTTTTTTGAGGCAAGATCTTATGTTGTTACCCAGGCTGGACTGCAGTACCACAATCTTGGTTCACTGTAGCCTTGACCTCCTGGGTCCAAGCAATCCTCCCATCTCAGCCTCCCAAATAACAGAGTCTGCAGGTGTTGGCCAGGCTAATCTCGAACTCTTGGCCTCAGGTGA